TTGTAAGACATTCATTTTACAATTATTGTACAATAACCCTTGGCTATTACTTTACAGGTCCGATATCAAAACCGATCAACGTGATTGACTTACACAGGCTGGGAGTGAGTTTAGGTATTACATGTATGTTGTAACCTGCCAGTCAAGGCAGCACAGCACAACATTTTAAAAATGCATTCTGTTTTGCTGTAATACATGTGGCAAGTGCTAATGAAGATTAGGATTTACATTGTAATTTAAAATACATAAATTTTGTTGCTTAGTTCGATCGCCTTCGTTTTCTACTAATTGGTCAATGTAAAACATAAAATGTACAAATATAATAATCAAAACATATTTAAATTTTATTGAATATGTTTCTATTACAACAAAATACAGAAGTAGGAGTCACTAGATTCATGGTGGTGACCATATATTTTCTATTTGTTCAGTTAGATTGTCTGTCATTTCCAAGGTGTGGTACATAATTTGCATGGCTATAAATACAGTTTCATTTGCTGTGAAAAAAAATGTCGGTTTTAGTTTTTTATACATACTTGATATCTAGTATAGACATCTGAAACAAATACGTGGCCCTTAACTAGTTTTGTTTTATTTAACCAGAACAAGTCCCATTGAGATAAAGAACCTGTGACAAAGCAGGTTCCTTTGTCACTTTTAATGCCACTTTTAGCCATGTATTTTGTAGCTGTTGAAGTGGGTGTGTCTCGACAGCCATTTGTTTTGTGTGCCAACCCATGTGGGCGGAGCACAATGTATAAAAGCTCACAGGGTTGAACTCGTCGGGGAGAGTCACACCAAGGGAAGGATTGCTTGTTGTTGCAAAATAAACTTGGCAACTTTGAATGTGACTTTTGATGTTCACTTTGACATGGGCAAGTTCCCCACATAGGTGGGCCAGCGGTGGGATCAGGCCAGTGAGAGGCAGAGGAGAAGGAGACAGGAGATGCAACAAACACCCCAAATGGGAAGCACACAATGAGGAAAGAAACATGGAGGAAGATTTTGCTCACCTGCCAGATGTGCGGAATTTCGGTGGGAGTTCGCAGAGATGACCTGCTGAGAGGATGGATTGGTGTGGAGCTCTACTGTGGAAGGAGTGGAGGCTGTTTTGGCTTGCCGAACCCTATTTTTGCGTTTTGGCGGATAGAGGCTGAAGATTGCAGCGGGATTCTGGTGGTTGCATACGGTGAGCAGCTGGATTGACGCTGTGGAGCGGTGTTACGGTACCAAGTGTGTGGCAGATGGATCCCCTGAGGAGTTCGGACAGTGTTCGGATTCGACGGCCCCCACCTGTGGGGTAATGTTCAAAGAGGCGGAATTGTTGGGTCTGCTTGAGCTGTGCTGGGAGGTGATTCTTCCAAGAATGAGGGTACTGTCAGAGGAGACCATTGCTCTTGACAAGGGGCATTCTGGGACTTTTGAGAGTACCTTCATTATTAAAAATGTTTCATCTGTAATGTATGTAAATGTAAATGTCTATTGACTTCTGTTGTGACTCTGGGGAGTATAGTTATAAGAAGGGGGGTGTGTGGACAAAGCAGGTTCCTCTTGTCCTTTTATTGCCACTTTTAGCCATGTATTTTGTAAGCTGTTTGAAAAGTGGGTGTGTCTCAGACAGCCATTTTTGTTTTGTTGTGCAACCATGTGGGCGGACCCAATTGTCTTAAAAGCTCACAGTAGTGAACTCGTCGGGGAGTCATCACACCATAGGGACAGGATTGCTTGTTGTGCAAAATAGAATCTCTTTGGCAACTCTTGAATGGACTTCTGCTGTTCACTTTGAACACTGGGCCAGTTCCCCACAAACCCCTTTTTCAAGAGGAGTCCTGATTATATTCATACGTTTCAAAAGTTTGGGGTCAATTTTGGAAAAATGCCTCATGTTGAGGAAATGTGTAGATAACTGTTAAACTAGTTTAACTGTTAAAGAAAATACATCTGTCATGCTTAGTGGTAAATGACTGCTGTTCTAGCTGAAAATGTTGGTTTTTGGTGGGGCAATGTTGTAATTTGCTGCAAATGGAGGATTTCTTTGAAAAAGAAAGTTGGATGTAAAACAATCTTATTTCTAATACAAATCTTATTTTAACGTTTGTAAGGCTTGAACTCTATTTTCTATTCATTTAAACGTATGGTGGGGAATAAGTGTGACTTTTCATGGAAAACAACCACACAATATATATATATTACAGACATAATGTGTGGTGTGTTCATTTGTATAGGGAATAATACTTATTAATTTACCGTTAAAATAATAATCTTACAATTCACGAGGACAAAAAGATCCAAAACATAGCTTTTTCGATCTATCCACTATATGGTCTTAATTATCTTGCCAGTACTTGTTATCAACATCACTGAATTTTGCCTTAAAACACGGCGGCCTACAGGGTCGAATGCCACAGATATAAGCCGTTTACAATAATAGTGATATAATCATTTCTGTATACAATTTCAGGCTTATCATAAATATTAGTAGATAATGATTAAGAACATCAACAACAAGCAAGGACTCTGTCATACGGGCTCTAACACCATCTTAGAAATACATGATTCAATTTGTACATATATTGGATTAATATCAATACTTTACTTAAACAGTGATAGTACTTCATTCGCTCGATTCTATGCGCGGTTCAGGAGTTCTGTGGGGCTGCACGCTCCCGCTTGAGGTCCGCCTCTCGTCGTTCGAGGCACAAAGCATTATGGGAGGTCCCATGCGCATAACGGGCGAGGACAGAGGATGCCAAATACAGACGATTTTCCATATATTTTGCGAGTTTCAGGCAACTTCCGGCTAATCTTTCAGCCCATGCCGTACAAAGGCCACTGAGCACAACCATTCATTTTGAATCTTAGGGCGCCTTCTTGGATTGCGGGGATTGATTTGGACCAGTATTAGTTTAGCCTCTGTGGACTTCAGAATGCACTCGATAAATAAATGGGGCTAGTGCATTTTTTCACATTTCCAGTGGGAGGGGTTGCCCGTCGGCCGATTTGAAAAAGCCCCATAGACGGCAAAAGTTGTGGCACATTAGATTCAATGAAGGATGATAGGAATGGAGTAGATGAGACGAAAAATCTCATTTGTCTGAGAAGAAGACAAAATTCTCAGGAATAATGTTCAAAATATATTAACTGTTAAAAAGTGTCATTTAGAAAACCGTTATCATCACTACTAGATTGTATGAAGCGATCCTGGAGCCACACCGTGTGAAGAAGCTTCATGTACTGTGTCAGACGGAAGGTATTATTCCAGTTACATTTAGGCATACAATAGGTATAGAGTTCAAGTTCAATCCGTCATTATCCACTCTAGGTTCACCAGATTGGCTTTCTCGTCATGCAAACTGCTGGGATGCTAATCTATGAAGCATGTCCCACTTATCACTGTTCTATTACACCACCGGAAATGTGACGCTGAGTTTTGCAGGTGGCAGTGAGAACACTCGCTCTGGATGGGACAGTAACTCTCGACCAAGACTGGTGTTATTCTCTCTTCTTACTCCCCACATGGTACATACTGGTGTTTATTCTCTCTCTTCTTACTCCGCCACATGGTACATACTGGTGTATTATTCTCTCTCTTCTTACTCCCCCACATGGTACATACTGGTGTTATTCTCTCTCTTCTTACTCCGCCACATGGTACATACTGGTGTTATTCTCTCTCTTCTTACTCCGCCACATGGTACATACTGGTGTTATTCTCTCTCTACTTACTCCCCCACATGGTACATACTGGTGTTATTCTCTCTCTTCTTACTCTCGCCACATGGTACATACTGGTGTTATTCTCTCTCTTCTTACTCCCCCACATGGTACATACTGGTGTTATTCTCTCTCTTCTTACTCCCCCACATGGTACATACTGGTGTTATTCTCTCTCTTCTTACTCCCCCACATGGTACATACTGGTGTTATTCTCTCTCTTCTTACTCCCCCACATGGTACATACTGGTGTTATTCTCTCTCTTCTTACTCCGCCACATGGTACATACTGGTGTTATTCTCTCTCTTCTTACTCCCCCACATGGTACATACTGGTGTTATTCTCTCTCTTCTTACTGCGCCACATGGTACATACTGGTGTTATTCTCTCTCTTCTTACTCCCCCACATGGTACATACTGGTGTTATTCTCTCTCTTCTTACTCCGCCACATGGTACATACTGGTGTTATTCTCTCTCTTCTTACTCCCCCACATGGTACATACTGGTGTTATTCTCTCTCTTCTTACTCCCCCACATGGTACATACTGGTGTTATTCTCTCTTCTTACTCCCCCACATGGTACATACTGGTGTTATTCTCTCTCTTCTTACTCCGCCACATGGTACATACTGGTGTTATTCTCTCTCTTCTTACTCCCCCACATGGTACATACTGGTGTTATTCTCTCTCTTCTTACTCCGCCACATGGTACATACTGGTGTTATTCTCTCTCTTCTTACTCCGCCACATGGTACATACTGGTGTTATTCTCTCTCTACTTACTCCCCCACATGGTACATACTGGTGTTATTCTCTCTCTTCTTACTCTCCCACATGGTACATACTGGTGTTATTCTCTCTCTTCTTACTCCCCCACATGGTACATACTGGTGTTATTCTCTCTCTTCTTACTCCCCCACATGGTACATACTGGTGTTATTATCTCTCTTCTTACTCCCCCACATGGTACATACTGGTGTTATTCTCTCTCTTCTTACTCCCCCACATGGTACATACTGGTGTTATTCTCTCTCTTCTTACTCCCCCACATGGTACATACTGGTGTTATTCTCTCTCTTCTTACTCCCCCACATGGTACATACTGGTGTTATTCTCTCTCTTCTTACTCCCCCACATGGTACATACTGGTGTTATTATCTCTCTTCTTACTCCCCCACATGGTACATACTGGTGTTATTCTCTCTCTTCTTACTCCCCCACATGGTACATACTGGTGTTATTCTCTCTCTTCTTACTCCCCCACATGGTACATACATGGTCTTCTTACCCGCTGTCACTGAGAGCAGCCTCTCTCTCTGCGGCCGCTGTGGTGCTGCCGTTGCCACAGAACCCAGACACTGAGGCCGGCTTTGGTCCTGAACCACACACATTGTTATCATTGTTATTGTCTTTAGGGCTGCTGTAGAATGTGTAAACTCCAGTTACCTGTGACACGAACATGTGCCGTGTTCCCGTTGAAATGGACAGAGGCGGCGTAACCAGAGGTTGCCGTGACCTCTGCTGTGATTCCAGATGAATCTTTGGTTATTTTCACTCCTGCAACAATCTGCTCTGATGTGTTGAACTGGACCATTCTGTCGTCCAACTGAAGAACATAGACACAGGATTATAGATAATAGTTTAAAACCTGAGCCTCAACAAACCCTTTAATGTTCACTCCTCTAAGAAAGTATTTTATTGGTATTGAAAGAGGAAGGAGCACTGATAAGTAAGTCATATTTATTTAAAGCTCATTTTACAAACTAGACTTTCTGATTGGTGAAACGGTGGAGGGCGGGACATCGAAATGAAAACAATAACAAGATGTAAATTCAAATATCTCTGAACTACTGTTATCAGTTAAAGAAGTATTGGAAAAGAACAGTTTGTTATTATGACAGATTAGGGCCCTTTAATGATGACAGATTAGAGCCCTTTAATGATGACAGATTAGGGCCCTTTAATGATGACAGATTAGGGCCCTTTAATGAGAACAGATTAGGGCCCTTTAATGATGACAGATTAGGGCCCTTAAATGATGACAGATTAGGGCCCTTTAATGATGACAGATTAGGGCCCTTTAATGATGACAGATTAGGACCCTTTAATGATGATAGATTAGGGCCCTTTAATGAGGACAGATTAGGGCCCTTTAATGAGGACAGATTAGGGCCCTTTAATGAGGACAGATTAGGGCCCTTTAATGAGGACAGAAGTGCCTAAATCCAGGTGAGACGCCCCAAAGAGGTCCATCTCAGTTCCAATCATGTAGATAGTGTCTGAAAAGAGGATTTCCCAAATGCTGCTGAAACCGTTAAAGGGATAGAACCAACCGTGACCCGTCCTCCCTGCTCCAGTGAAACGTGGACGTTGGAGGACTTCAGGCGCAGAATGACCCGCTGTATGAAGCTGACATCTTTGCGTCGCCTTTCACTGAAGACCCCCAGGACCTGCAGGTCTGGGACGGACTGGGTCTCCATCAGCTTGTACCCACAACGGTCTGCGACGGCGTGGACTCGTCCAATCACATCGATTATGGTCGAGCCGGTTACGGTGCATGTGGCGTCTAAGGAACATCTGGAATAACAGTAGAATAATAAGTGTGAAGAGTAAACTTCAGAGTTGGACCGCAGCTCGTTAACGATCTAAAAGGTATCATTTACTCGTCAATCACTGGAAGTCGTCACAGCTCGTTAAATAGGACGTGACGTTAATGTGTGTTTGTACGGCGGTGGTTAATTACTGCCGTGGCCACAGCTGCCCTGGAGCAGACTGACAGAGGTGAGTCCTCTGCCTCCATCGTGGTCGTACCCGGAAAATTAGGGACAACAATCGAGTGGATCGAGCACTTTTTAATTATCCTATTTTCAATCTACACAAGAATCATGCAATTTCATATTTACAGTTTTTAGAATGTGATTTATTGACTTCATATAAATAAAACAAATCTGTAATTGCTGTTTACAACATCACAAAGACATAACACAACAGACACACACATCACAAAGACATAACAAAACACACACACCATCACAAAGACATAACAAAACAGACACACACATCACAAAGACATAACACAACAGACACACACATCACAAAGACATAACACAACAGACACACACATCACAAAGACATAACACAACAGACACACACATCACAAAGACATAACACAACAGACACACACATCACAAATACATAACACAACAGACACACACCATAAAGACATAACACAACAGACACACACCATAAAGACATAACACAACAGACACACACCATCATAAAGACATAACACAACAGACACACAACATCACAAAGACATAACACAACAGACACACACCATCACAAAGACATAACAAAACAGACACACAACATCACAAAGACATAACACAACAGACACACACATCACAAAGACATAACACAACAGACACACACATCACAAAGACATAACAAAACAGACACACAACATCACAAAGACATAACAAAACAGACACACAACATCACAAAGACATAACACAACAGACACACACATCACAAAGACATAACACAACAGACACACAACATCACAAAGACATAACAAAACAGACACACAACATCACAAAGACATAACACAACAGACACACACCATCACAAAGACATAACAAAACAGACACACAACATCACAGACATAACACAACAGACACACACATCACAAAGACATAACAAAACAGGGCATGTAACAAGTGGTAAAATATGTAAATTAGCAAAAAGATCAGAAGATCAGTTGTGACTTCAGACCATGTGTTCACGTGTCTCTCAGACCATGTGTTCACGTTTCTCTGACCATGTGTTCACGTGTCTCTGACCATGTGTTCACGTGTCTCTGACCATGTGTTCACGTGTCTCTCAGACCATGTGTTCACGTTTCTCTGACCATGTGTTCACGTGTCTCTGACCATGTGTTCACGTGTCTCTGACCATGTGTTCACGTTTCTCTCTGACCATGTGTTCACGTGTCTCTCAGACCATGTGTTCACGTGTCTCTGACCATGTGTTCACGTGTCTCTCAGACCATGTGTTCACGTGTCTCTGACCATGTGTTCACGTGTCTCTCAGACCATGTGTTCATGTGTCTCTGACCATATGTTCACGTTTCTCTCTGACCATGTGTTCACGTGTCTCAGACCATGTGTTCACGTGTCTCTGACCATGTGTTCATGTGTCTCTGACCATGTGTTCACGTGTCTCTCAGACCATGTGTTCACGTGTCTCAGACCATGTGTTCACGTGTCTCTGACCATGTGTTCACGTGTCTCAGACCATGTGTTCACGTGTCTCTCAGACCATGTGTTCACGTGTCTCTGACCATGTGTTCACGTGTCTCTCAGACCATGTGTTCATGTGTCTCAGACCATATGTTCACGTTTCTCTCTGACCATGTGTTCACGTGTCTCAGACCATGTGTTCACGTGTCTCAGACCATGTGTTCACGTGTCTCTGACCATGTGTTCACGTGTCTCAGACCATGTGTTCACGTGTCTCTGACCATGTGTTCACGTGTCTCTGACCATGTGTTCACGTGTCTCTCAGACCATGTGTTCACGTGTCTTTGACCATGTGTTCACGTGTCTCTGACCATGTGTTCACGTGTCTCTGACCATGTGTTCACGTGTCTCTCAGACCATGTGTTCACGTGTCTTTGACCATGTGTTCACGTGTCTCAGACCATGTGTTCACGTGTCTCTGACCATGTGTTCACGTGTCTCAGACCATGTGTTCACGTGTCTCTGACCATGTGTTCACGTGTCTCTGACCATGTGTTCACGTGTCTCTCAGACCATGTGTTCACGTGTCTTTGACCATATGTTCACGTGTCTCAGACCATGTGTTCACGTGTCTCAGACCATGTGTTCACGTGTCTCAGACCATGTGTTCACGTGTCTCTGACCATGTGTTCACGTGTCTCAGACCATGTGTTCACGTGTCTCTGACCATGTGTTCACGTGTCTCTGACCATGTGTTCACGTGTCTCTCAGACCATGTGTTCACGTGTCTTTGACCATGTGTTCACGTGTCTCTGACCATGTGTTCACGTGTCTCTCAGACCATGTGTTCATGTGTCTCTGATCATATGTTCACGTGTCTCTCAGACCATGTGTTCACGTGTCTCTGACCATGTGTTCACGTGTCTCTGACCATGTGTTCACGTGTCTCTGACCATGTGTTCACGTGTCTCTCAGACCATGTGTTCACGTGTCTCTCAGACCATGTGTTCATGTGTCTCTCAGACCATGTGTTCACGTGTCTCTCAGACCATGTGTTCACGTGTCTCTGACCATGTGTTCACGTGTCTCTCAGACCATGTGTTCACGTGTCTCAGACCATGTGTTCACGTGTCTCTCAGACCATGTGTTCACGTGTCTCTGACCATGTGTTCACGTGTCTCTGACCATGTGTTCACGTGTCTCTCAGACCATGTGTTCATGTGTCTCCGATCATATGTTCACGTTTCTTTCTGACCATGTGTTCACGTGTCTCTGACCATGTGTTCACGTGTCTCTGACCATGTGTTCACGTGTCTCTGACCATGTGTTCACGTGTCTCTCAGACCATGTGTTCACGTGTCTCTCAGACCATGTGTTCACGTGTCTCAGACCATGTGTTCACGTGTCTCTCAGACCATGTGTTCACGTGTCTCAGACCATGTGTTCACGTGTCTCTGACCATGTGTTCACGTGTCTCTGACCATGTGTTCACGTGTCTCTGACCATGTGTTCACGTGTCTCTGACCATGTGTTCACGTGTCTCTGACCATGTGTTCACGTGTCTCTGACCATGTGTTCACGTGTCTCTGACCATGTGTTCACGTGTCTCTGACCATGTGTTCACGTGTCTCTGACCATGTGTTCACGTGTCTCTGATGGTCCACACTTCTTGACAGAGTTTTGTGGATGGTGGTTCCTCAGTTCTGTCTGTAAGTTCCAGGAGTGAGAAGGAGGATGGTCCGAACAGTCTTTCTAAATGGGATGTGACGGCCTCCTGCTCCATGATTGTGTGTGTGAGTGTGTCTGAGTGTGTGTGAGTGTGTGTGAGTGTGTGTGAGTGTGTGTGAGTGTGTGTGAGTGTGTGTGAGTGTGTGTGAGTGTGTGTGAGTGTGTCTGAGCGTGTCTGAGTGTGTCTGAGCGTGTCTGAGCGTGTTTGAGCGTGTCTGAGCGTGTCTGAGCGTGTTTGAGCGTGTCTGAGCGTGTCTGAGCGTGTTTGAGCGTGTCTGAGCGTGTTTGAGCGTGTCTGAGCGTGTTTGAGCGTGTTTGAGCGTGTCTGAGCGTGTTTGAGCGTGTCTGAGCGTGTTTGAGCGTGTCTGAGCGTGTTTGAGCATGTCTGAGCGTGTTTGAGCGTGTTTGAGCGTGTCTGAGCGTGTTTGAGCGTGTCTGAGCGTGTTTGAGCGTGTCTGAGCGTGTTTGAGCGTGTCTGAGCGTGTTTGAGCGTGTCTGAGCGTGTTTGATCGTGTCTGAGCGTGTTTGAGCGTGTTTGAGCGTGTCTGAGCGTGTCTGAGCGTGTCTGAGCGTGTTTGAGCGTGTTTGAGCGTGTCTGATGAGTTTGAGCGTGTCTGAGCGTGTCTGAGCGTGTCTGAGCGTGTCTGAGCGTGTTTGAGCGTGTCTGAGCGTGTTTGAGCGTGTCTGAGCGTGTTTGATCGTGTCTGAGCGTGTTTGAGCGTGTTTGAGCGTGTCTGAGCGTGTCTGAGAGTGTCTGAGCGTGTTTGAGCGTGTCTGAGCGTGTCTGAGCGTGTCTGAGCGTGTTTGAGCGTGTCTGAGTGTGTCTAAGCGTGTCTGAGCGTGTCTGAGCGTATCTGAGCGTGTTTGAGTGTGTTTGAGCGTGTCTGAGCGTGTCTGAGCGTATCTGAGCGTGTTTGAGTGTGTCTGAGCGTGTTTGAGCGTGTCTGAGCGTGTCTGAGCGTGTCTGAGCGTGTCTGAGCGTGTTTGAGTGTGTTTGAGCGTGTCTGAGCGTGTCTGAGCGTATCTGAGCGTGTTTGAGTGTGTCTGAGCGTGTTTGAGCGTGTCTGAGCGTGTCTGAGCGTGTCTGAGCGTGTCTGAGCGTGTTTGAGCGTGTCTGAGTGTGTCTGAGCGTGTCTGAGCGTGTCTGAGCGTATCTGAGCGTGTTTGAGTGTGTTTGAGCGTGTCTGAGCGTGTTTGAGTTTACGTTCAGCTTATCAACTCCTGCGATGGGGGCGGGGCAAGTCCGTTTAGAATTTTATAGACCATAAATATGTCTGAATACGTTCTTAAATTTTCATACTTAAAAAAATGATGTTTGGTAAAGACTTTACAATAGTGATAAGAATTGTTCTCTTTTGTCTAATGTTTTTACTGTCTGCTTATAAAGTCTTTCTATGGGCAACACACACTCAGTCATATGTGAGAGAAATGGTACAGTTTTAAAGAATCAGTTAAGTTATTTCTAATATGTTTAAAATTTAATTTCATTTTATTCCTCAATTTCTTTACATGTTTTTTTTAATGATGATGATTTCAACGGTGTGTGTGTGAGATGCAGTGAATGAATGATGCATTTAAAGGCGACTCTGAAAATACGGGACAAAAGCTGTCCCTTTATCATTTTAATACAGGACGATTATGTGTTTCATGGGACGGTTGGTAACTCTGCCTCTAACTGCCTCCGATTAATCACACACACACCAGACTCTGCCTGTGTGTGTGTCTAACCAAGAACACAACCACAGTTTGGCACTTTACAGCTGCCCCACTGTGGCACCTGTTGTTCCCAGAGGTCTCCCATCACATCACTAACCAGACCCTGTCCTGCTTAGCTTCTGAGGTTGGCAGGTCAGACTTTCACCTGCAGGTGGCTGATGTGTCATTTAGTTTGAAAAGTTTGTGTTTAAAAGTATGTTTCATCAAACACACATTTCTAAAACTACTTTGGGGAAAAGAACCAGAGTTTGGACTTCTGGACCTGAGAAGGACCATGGACCCTGTTCTTCCTAAGTCCTGGACTCACGTGTTGTTTCCCTGGCACCGCTCCATGGGTTTGCAGCTGCTGACGAGGGATGCGACCCCAGACTGGTCACAGGAGACGGTGGAGCAGATGTGTCCGTTCCACACACTTGTGTTGGTTTTGTACACAGCTCCTGAGAACACACTCCTGTTATTCTGCTTTCACTTTATTGTTATTGTGGCGCTGAAGCGACTCACCGAAGAGTCTGCAGCCGCTCACGTCAGTCACCACTCCTCTGTCGGTCTGATTGGTTTGGAAGAGCTCCTTCACATACGACTGTCCATTCACCACCGTCTGGGCCTCCTACAATCACACACACACGTGCAGTATATACTGTATATATATACATACATATATATATATATATATGTATGTACTGTACACATGGGTGTCGTGTGTAAAGCTTTGTAACAGATAGAGTTCAAAAAGAGAAAACGTGGATAGTTCAAGCCCCATGTTCCTGAACGTCTAATGAAGTATGGTTTTTGCAAAATAATGTTTTACTTTTTACCTTTAAGCACGTTCCGTTAAGCACTGTGTCATTCAGTTTTGTCATACTCACAAAGCTGATGTCTGAAAATCTTGAATGAGTCTTGATTCCCACAACAGCTTGAGCTCCAAAGTTTGCCAATTCAATTTGTTTAACCTTTAAGTACAAAGTTCAGAGTAAATGCACCACAGACTGGAACGGGCTGGAACAGAAACACATCTGTCACAGACAGAGGGCTGGAACAGAAACTGTTGTATATTTTAATATTTGACCATTTGAACATCATAGCCAGAAAGACCTCTGTGCACTCAGGAAAAACCCCAAGGACACAGGATAATCAGACATGAGTCATAAAGATAAAATGCTGTTTAAACAGGGCGAATTATTAACTTTAAATAATAAACATTTTGACGAGGACAAGAGTTCAGAACCTGAATCTTGAGGCAGACTGGGAGATTCACCAACTGCATTCTGACGCCTCCCAGTGGACAAGGGACGTCAGCACACCCGGAAACTCCACCCCTTGGACGCATAAGGATGACGTCATCGGAAGTCTCCCTCATGAGCCCCTGTGTGTTTTTTTTGAGGTCAGACAGGACAGGGCACGGACAGGGGAAGAGCAGGCCTAGAATAGGAGCACTTTTGTTGAACATTCTGTATCTGATTGTAAAGATAATTAAATGCAGATGTTAAACGTGAAGATCTCTTGTCTCGCTCTTGCATCGACTTTGGATACGTCAGTCAAAGGGAATTATTGACTTCATTTTGGTGAATCCCGACGTGATCGGGGCAGGAGCGGGACAGAGATGAGCTCAGTTATAGAGACTGGATTTGTGGGTTTGGAAAAATCTCTCTGCTCTTCAAAAAGGTCGCTTCTAAGGTAAGCGGATCACAGTTTTGGAAATCTGCACATTGTTTTAAATAGAAGAGAGAGAGATTTTGGCTCGACAGATTGCAGCGTGGCCAGGCGACCGCCGTGACGGGGCGTTCTATCGGACGCGATAGAACAATAGTCAGGTTTAGACGTTTTAACCTTGGGGGAAGCATGGGTCCCTCCTTAAATAAAACAGAACAGATGATGAAAAGAGCCACAGGATTTAGAAGTGCAAAAGAGGCACACCGTTTTAAGGTGCAAAAGAGGCACAAGAGTTTAGATAAATAGGATTAGAGAGATAGGGGCAGTTAGGGTCAGAAGTGATAGGATAATAAAAACTCCATATCCCCCGGGGGGCGGAAAAAAGGGTACATTTAAACAGAAAAAAGCCAAGTATTTAAAATGTGGATTCTGATAATAATGATCTGATTAATGAGAAAAAAGGGAGCCACTTGGCTGTAACTATGAGTTTTCATGTGAAGAAATGACAAAAGATCAGTCTGGGAGTTTTTCTCTTGTATTGGGATGTAATGTTTCGACAGTTACAGAGAATCAGGAAAAAAAAAAAAAAAGATTCTGCTGGAACTCTCGATACATTAATCATGTAGCAAATGGTAATGTTTTCCATTACTGACGTATTTAAGGATAAAATGTAAAGTGTCGTTTGACGTGAGAAAAACTTTTACCACTGATTAAGACCATATCACGATAAAAACGAGGAAAATGTAGCAAAGAAGGGGTGTATTTCAATCATCCATGTGTTCCTTTGTTCGAGTAGCCCCTCCCCTCCCTCGTTCTGTCTTCTCTCTCTCTCTCTCTCCCCTTCCTCCTCTCTCTCTCTCTCTCTCTCTCTCTCTCTCTCTCTCTCTCTGTCTTTCTCTCTCTCTCGTGAAGAAAGAATTTTTTGTAGAAAATTACATTTATACATACGATAATGTTACTAACATGGAGTCATAGGATCACAGAACTTTGAGTTAGATTATAAAGAGGCATTATTTTATTTTTATTTTTTATCTCCAAGGCGTCTGGACAAGTTTTTTTCCCCTACATTTTGGTGATATAAAAGTTAGAATGATCTTAGAGAGCATTATACTTTTGGAAAAAGTAGGGCTTAGGATACCAGTTGAATGCAGAATTGGTTTTCAGAATTTAATGTTTAAAATGTTAATATTAATTATTTCATAGGTTTATTTTGAATTGTAATTAATCATTGGTTTCGTATGGTAATTAACACACTTGTTTGTGCTTCTTGTTTGTCTGTTTTTTCCGAGAAAACTTCTGTCTGTCTCATTTGGCCAAAATCGTCTGCCACAAGTCCTCAATCGAGCGCCATCAGCACGGACCATCTGCGTCTCCCCCGTTTCACCCACAGGGGGCAGCAAAGACTGCAGCATCGGCTGCAGCAGCTAACAGGAACTCTCGAAGAAGACCTCTCCGGCCTCCATTTCATGGAGAAGAACCAGACTTTTGCACAAACCGAGTGGAGTTATGTGCACGGAGTAGAACGTTGTATAAACCTAACAAGAAGAAGAAAGACATTATGAGGAAAAGATTGAAAGAAGAAGAAAGTGATTGAAAAGAAGAAGAAAGACATGAGAAAAAGTTGTCGGAAGAAGAAAGAAAGTGATTGATTGAAAGAAGAAGAAAAAAGACATTGAGACAAAGACATTGGACACTTTGAGACAAAAGACACTGAAAGACACCATAAGAGGAAGACGTGGCCAGGCTAAATGAGACAGAGACAGAAGGTAAATATATACAGACAAACAAACGCACAGAGACATGTGGAATTTAAGTCATATTTATACATTTAGCTAGGTCATTCGTTCATAACACCACATTTAGCTGCATGAAAGAATACAGGACAATCGTTAAAATTAATTAGACTCTTGCTTTAGCATGAGACACAAGGAGATTAGAACAGCAGTATATTTAAGGTAGAGGAGCCCTATTATTGAAACTAGTATTATTATTTAAAGTTATAGACGCGGAGAAGTTTAGAATTATTGATTTTAACTGCATGATCTTGGTAATACGGATATTTAAAGCAGTGTTTTCAACCTCTGAACCGTGGCTCGTTTCTCATTTAAGAACAATCACATGCACAGATGAAACTGGTGCTAGGAAGAGAACTGCAGCTTTTAATGGACGTTGCATTTAGTACAAAATGGTTTGTTCAGACAATTAGAGTTTGAAAAATGATTTAAAGCATTTCTGAATTTTGGCTAAAGGTGATATTGGATCATTTCTGATAACACATAGACGCAACACTGTTCATTGGTTGAAAACAAAGATGTAGGGACATTTTTTGAAATCTTTTATGACATGTTTCTCTTCCAAATAGCTAAATTAGAAACAATTAGGACAATTATGTCTTTGATATAACTGTTGGCCGTTTATCTGAGACATGATTGGTGCAAGTACACACACATAAAACAATGGTCTTTTCTCCACATGAACGTGAAACAAGGGTGAAGTATTAAAGTTTGAAACTAATTTACATTTTTTAAGGAATCCGAACTGGCTTTAAAAAAAAAAAAGGAAAAACATTTATTGCACGTGCATGAGTTTTTTTTTAAGTGACAAGAGCTCATTAAAAATATAGGGGACACAGTTTGTGACAAGCCCGAGTAAAGACCACGTGGTTTAAACACTAAAGTTTGAAATGGATCCTTTTAGGAAAAATCTCTCAAAGCTTTGCATGTTCTGCAGGCTCTGAAAGTTGCAACGATAAAATAACTCATGAGACAATTGTAATTGGACATGGAAAAATATAACAAAGTTAAAATTACAGGCCTCTTGTGTATGTTATATGTTTGTGTATGTTATATGTTTGTGTATGTTATATGTTTGTGTGTGTTATATGTTTGTGTATGTTATATGTTTGTGTATGTTATATGTTTGTGTATGTTATATGTTTGTGCGTCATGTCAAATACACTACGTTGACCTTAACAAACTGGACCAATACTAACGTGGGGTGTTGTGAGTGTGTTGTGAGTGTGTTGTGGAGTGAACTGAGGAGTGAAATGAGGAATGCTGAACGGAGAATGGAATAACAAAAGTTTTCTGTAATGTTTTAATGTGATCATGGAATAATTATTTTTTGTCAACAGCATACGGTGTAAGTACTAGAGATTCAAAGATAACAAGCTTTATTGAACAGGTGTAAAAGTGAGAGTACTCTGGGATGAGTACTCTGAGAAAAGTACTCTGAGAAAGTACTCTGAGATGAAATACCTCGCTGAAGGTACTGGGAGTCCCTCCCTCTGCTGTTTGTCCTGACAGTGATTCGGTCCAACCGCAGTGAGCTGTCGTTGGGCGGAGGACACCTTTGGTTTGTAATTCACATTTAGGGGAGTATAAAATTAGAAACATACATATTGTTAAGTCTGTATTTGGCTACAGCCTCTGCCCTGATGTCACACACCGTCTGTCAATGCAGTTATGTTTTGCCCAATTGGATTGATTGACAGGCTGCACAATGCGAAGAGAGGAAAGTGGGCGTTTCTTGTGTTCTAATGTTTGTTTTTCAGATGAAAGATAAACTGCACCTGCTTCAGGGATACCACGGTAGTATGGATCATGAGGAAAAAGAGCCTCTACTTTGGCACCAAAGCCCACAATATGAATTGAGGACGATCCGGGAGGAACAACTGAAGATGATTGGAACAGTAATCTACACACATACAGATGCATGTTTTATACTTTGGACCACGACCAACAGAGGGAGTATAGTAATGTTATTGTCATAGGTGGTCATGGTCCTTAACCTTCTAAATCATTAGAAAGAAGTGTAAAACATATATTTACAAGACCAAATACATAATAGAAAAGGGCAGCCTAAAAAAAAGCAAAATGGGAAAATTATTAAGTAATTTTCGGAGTTGCCAAAATGGAATAAAATTCTATATTTGTCCCATAGGGGGTCATTCTAAATTTAGTGTTGTGCAAATTCAAAAGGAGAAATAATAGCGCTTATAACATCAAACAGATCTACTCTTTAAGATAATAATAGAATAGAATGAAATAGTCTGGAGCTATAATGTCATTGGATTCGAGGAGCTATAGGTTGAAAAGTCGCTAAGAAGAGGTGTCAGAATAAACAATAGTAATAATAGTTAGACTAGTGAATAATCAAAATAGTTCTATTGTGGAAATAAGTATCAATAAGGTCAAATTGTTCTAATAACTAAAGTAAAAAGGAATCAAATGGAGTCAGATTGTAGATGTTTCTGTTTTCCACATCTGTAGGAATTAGTGCAGATGTGTTTATAGAGAGTAGTATTAAAATGCAGACATAGAACGACAGGCGTTAACACAATTTTAAATCTAAAATAGCTCAAATATAACATTGCTCTTGACGCAGCCTCTGAGCTGCTCCATTGGAGAACAGGTTAAATGTTATTGTTTATTACAAACAGCTGATGTA